TGTTTCCGCTATTAATTTTTATTCCGAGTCTTGCAAACCGCGTTCTACTAAAAATCAGCAAGGCACATTTCAAAGTTTGCCAAAAACTTCTAAAAGTGACGTTCTTTGTGAAACTTTCTGGGTGTATAAAGCATATATTTTTCTATTAAATCCCCTTAAGTACACTGTCTTGGCTCTTTTGGTGTTTTCGCTATTAATTTTTATTCCGAGTCTTGCGAACCGCGCTCTACTAGAAATCAGCAAGGCACATTTCAAAACTTGCCAAAAACTTCTAAAATTGACATTCTTTGCGAACATTTCTGGGTGTATAAAGCATATATTTATCTATTAAATTCCCTTAAGTACACCGTCTTAGCTCTTTTGGTGTTTTCGCTATTAATTTTTACAGCGAGTTTTTCAATCAGCTCTTTGCATTTCTGATGTTCCGCAAACGATGCAGAGTTTAAGGCAATTTTAAAGGCTCAATATTTTGGGAAAAATTCAATGTTTTTCAATATTTGTGCGAAAGAATGTATTGCATCTAAAAACCGTGTAATAACCGATTTTGAGAAACTCTTAGACCAAATCTCTGGATCATATTCCATGCCTTTTCAGCAAAAAACCCGAAACTACTCTGTTAAAACTCTTGTGTAGTTTGCGCCATGCCATGCAGCGAAAGCAATATATCAGTTAATTTGCTGCTGAACTTTTGCAATCAAAGTTTTCAAGTGAACTCCAAAGGCGATTTTCCAGTCTTTGGCCCTTTGGAGGACGAACTGGATTTTTGCAATATTCTTTCGGCGTGCGCCAAATAACAAAATTTTTTTAACGGGTTTTTTTGCCTCGACTTCGCCTTAATGAAATATGATTTAATTCGTCTTCACTTTTTTCGCCCCTTGGCCTTTGACTCCTTTGCGAAGCGCAGCCAATAACAATTAGATGTGCTTTCAAACCAGGAAGTTCTAAATCAAGAATTTTCACTTGCTATCTGAAAGTGCAGTGGATTGGAGCAGGAATATTGATTAAATTCCCGAACTGCTGCTCGCAAATCAAAATATGAATATCAATAAAACTTCCTGAAGAGGGTCGAGATGGAAACTCCCTTTGTCGGACGTTGGATAAATAAAAATTGACAGTCTCCGGGGAATTTTCCATAAAAGTTTCCCAGTCGGGGACTGTGGATTTTGCCCAAAGTTTCACTCCCAGGATAAATCATTGAAGACATTTTCCGCCAGAGGCAGTAGCACGGGGTTGTGAGGAACTGTGTTTTTTAACGCAGTTTTTAACCCTTTTGCCGTCCGCAAATGCATTTTGAGGCCATAAAGTGAAATGAAGCAGCCGGCTTGTTGAGGAAAACCCGCCCCAGCTTTCAACTGTAGCTGACACTGCTGGATTGGCTTACAAATTGGTCATTTCAAACCGTGTGGATGACAAATTAAACTTATATTCATGCCAAAATTTCAATTTTAATTGCCCTCAAACAGCGCAGCTTTCAGCTGTTTGCTTTTCAACAAAATCGATCTTTCTCGGGTGGCTACTTCTGTAAATTAACTTTTTAAATAACTATCCAGTTAATAGATAAACACCACAACCGCTCAACATCCCAAAGGATCCCATTTAACGAAAGATCCCCATTCCACACAAACTAGTCTGCTGAACTATCGCAAATTGTTATGATCTCACAAGTTGGAAATTGTGCAACTATTGCGGAAGTTTTGCTGAATTACACAAACAACTGGAGGGTGATCCGTTCAGAAACCCACTGGGGTTTAGCCGAAAACCATTAAATTAATAATCCGCTCTGGAGATTGAGTTTTTCTTAAAATCGGGGCCCTTTAGCGACTGCAGCACTAGGGAAAAAAACAAGCAAAATCTACTATTGACAATGTAA